ATAACATAACACCAAATCTCTATGAAGATAAACAAAATATGTTTAATGTATCGACTCCCTATTTGTAGCATAAAAATATCGCACTCATAACATGTTCTCTTCCCCGCAAATCGATTCCAATGGGCATAGACGAAAAGGGTTACTTCGCATAATCCAACAAGCAGCACAGAACTCCACCGTGACAAATACTTAATGTTCTCGCTTTAAACTTTTTTTTTGCTTAGAGAAATTCCCATAAAATCCATACATACTCAAGTTTTTGCTTATATGTATAATGCATTCATATTTTATATTTCATCCAAATTACGTTTGAGTTCTGGAAACATTTCCGCACTTCCATTTAAAATAGATTCACATCAAATAAAAATGTCGTCTGTAGCTTTTCTCCCCTTGATTTCTTTTTAAATTTATTTTCCGTTGAAGAACTTCTCTTTATGAAAATTAGCAACTTGTGCCAGATTCAGGTCAATGTATATTCCAATGTACATAATACCGTAAATAAATACATATATTAACATTTTAAGTAGGACGTCATTATTTTAATAGTAAATAATAAATGAAATATTCATATATTTATCCTCAAACTAAATATCTAATAAAATAAAATATCTTAGTACAAAAACTAATGCAAAAAATAAAGAAATTAATTTAAATAAAGAAAGAACTTAAACTTCGTACACTCTTATCATGTCTTTTATGTCGCTAGATGACGCATATGAAGATGATGGTTTCGTATTCTTCAGGGCAATTTCATAGACCATAGTTTAGTTATAGGAAATTTAGAATTCATTTAAATATCCAATAAATTTCTTTAAATTTGAAATCCATGAAGATGAGATAGTTCAACCACAATATTTAAATTTGATTTAAAACACTTTTATGTATAGCTTGCTTTTGTAAAATTACTGCACAACCTCACCGATCAGTCCAAACATCCAGTGGTGGGATAGTCAGAAAGGGATTTAAGTCAAACATGTTTAATATCTGTATATACTTTAAAGAATTGAAGTTATAGCAATTCTTCAGTAGTACTTAAAATGGAATAATTATCTTTCAATAATATGTGACGGATAAATAAAAATCATTTACAAAAAGGCAAAAAATCTTATGTAGTATTTTGTTGGAATAGGTACATATGATATGATATGGATATGATATGATGATCCATGTTTCTCAACACCCAAAACATAAACGTGTTTTAGAATTTGTCTACACCCCTTTAACAAAAGTCTCTGCCACTGAATAAACACGCGATAAAATTATTTATTTAATCTCGAAAAATTTACGTTATCTTATCAATATATAAGATAATTGCTTTTTTTTCACTTCCGATAGGTAAGAAGTATAGGTCATTATCATTAATTGGGTTGGCTTTTTTCGGTTTTGATATGTTTTAGCTCTTTAATTGAAGAAACATTTATGCCATCATACGGTCAATATTCGGTAATTTTATTTTTGCTCAAATCGAGTTTTTACACTACATTTTGTTTTTACGAATATTTAAACAAAATACACAGCTAAGCGTGAAAAAAAAATTAACTACAAAATTAAAACAAAGCTAGTGTAGTCCAAGCCAGGGACTACACTAGCAAGTTTTTGACGAGTGGCTTGAATTCTGTTATTTGATTCGAACTTCGAACTTAACAAAAATGGACTGGAAAGTAATGACAATATTTTCGAAAATTAAAAAAACTTCAACAAAAACCTGTAATTGCAGTTCCTGAGTCACATTTTCAAGTTAAATGATTTAATAACAGTAACCCTGCAGATGTTTCATCTATTATAACAGAAAATCATAAAACGGTAAAAATGGAGCTTGAATTGTTGATAAAATTAATGTTGCATTTAGTGAAAACGGAGTACTTTGAAAGCAATAGCCAACAAGTTATTCTTAGATGCATTTATCAGCAATTTCGGACGCATCCACAGCCATGAAGCTGATACTACTATTTTTTCGAAAGTATAGCCTAGATTAGAATTTAGCCTAGTGCTATTTAGCACACATAACGTATGACATGTGTCGTGTGCCAACGTGTTCTTGGACTGTAGCTTTGTTTTAAGGACATCCATGTATTTGATAACCCAACAGCATATACCAGCTTAGACCTAATTTATTCTTAACATTTGGTAATATTTTTACGTCTGGACTCAGGTTAATCTTTAATTCCAGCGTTTTGTACACTTACTTTTCCCTATTTTTAGTATCACCCATATTTTTCTAGAAGACGTTCCATTATTGTTTGGTCATCTGAATTCATTGTTGTTGGAAACTGTGAAAATATATTGGTATTGTCCCTTTTGTGAGTGGTGAGCGACACTTGGTATTCTGGGTACACTAATGTCTTCAGACACTTAGTCTAAAACTTCTGCACAACACGTTCAAAAAGTTGCTTACAATTCGAATACCAGAATGCTTGTGATACCTTTTTAATGGAATTAGAGAGTGTGGTGTGTATGTCAAGAGTTTCTAATATGTGAAAACAATAGCATTTCTAAGTTCTACTGATAGCAAATAATAGCGAAAAAATATATTTAGATATACATTGTAATTTTTAATACACATATATTGAATTGCTTATTTGAAATAAATGCATATTTACATTAGTTTTTATTAAATAAAATTTATTTATAATATTTTTTAATGATAATTTATTAGTATTTGGAAAATATGAAAATAATAACTTATAAATATATATATCTTTGGATCAAAAAAGAACTTTAGTTTTTAATTTTTGAATTGCCGCGCTTATCCAATCGGTAAATTTTTCGGTGTAACTTTTTCCTTTTCCCCCGACTCAAATTGCCATTGCGAGGAACGCGTTTTGAGACCATAGAGGCTATAAAGTACAAATCGCCACACGAAAATTTTCAGACTTCTTTGTATAGACGCCAAACAAAAACTAATTGTACGATATGCGTTAAACTTTGACAGAATGTGTGAAATAGTGTTGCCAGCGTGAAAATAAAAAAAATTTACCGATTGGAAGCGCGAGAATTCAAAAATAGGCCTCTCGTTCTTTTTTGATCAGAAGGTTATACATTTATATTTATTTATTTATATATATATATATATATATTATATATTAAAATAATAATACTGTTTCTTTATTTTATCCAGTAATTATTATAATATGTATTTTTAAATAAAAATATCAATGACAATACTATTCATAAATTAATTTAATTATTTATTTAAATATAAATGTAATATAAAAATTAAGCAGAATATTAAAAACTTATCTTGTATGTAAATTGCACATACATATTTACTTTATTAAAAATTTTTCTAATCAATTTAACGAGAATGTATGAGATAGAAATAAAACAATACAATTTAATTTAAAAATATTATATGAATACTATCCAAACCAGAGATATATGTTTATTTACGTATATAAACTCTGCAAACAAAACAAATAATTGTTTTCATAGCACAATTGCTTAATTATGAAGAGCTGAAAAAAGCGAAAATGTATGGTGGGGAAAGGGTAAGAGGGGCAACAAGCAGTATCCAAAACATTTAAGTGATTAACAAAAATAATAATAATTAATATTGCGCAAGTAATAAAATATAAATTATTTTGCTATCAATAAATTTTTTCAATTATGCGCTGTAGAATTCCTAAGCGTTAAGTTAGTTATCAGTTTTTTGCACGAATTTTTGAAAAAACCATTTTTATTCGAGAAACAGTAACAGAAATTAAAAAAAAAAAGAAAAAAAAAAAACAAAACAAAAATAATAATAAAAAACGAGGTTCCGCATCGAGTAAACAAAAATATATTATAAAAAAAGAAGATAAATAATTCTAAGTTAGACCACAATTAGACTCTACCGCTTCATTCAAAATTTAATTAACACGGACAGGCAGCTTCGTTTCGCTGCTGCTAGACAGAACCTTACATGGAGGATCACTGTTGTGTCTAAGCGCTATCACCTATTAACATAATTAACGTTATTTATTTTAAGACTGAAACTTATAATTAAAAATTTATAAAATTTAAATGTAATAATTAGCATTGAGAGCTGATTTTTTCTATTTAAATCGTAAACTTAATGTTACTAAGCTTTATTAAATCGAATATTCAAATAATTTATTTTTTAATACTTCACAAAAGAAATCACAAGTTCGGTGTGAGGATTGTTACAATCACAAAATTCGATTTAAAAAAATTTAACAAAATTATTTTTCTTGTGCACTCTATTGAGAGTTACAGAAATCTCTAATTGGAAAAATGCATAAGCACTAATTGGAAGACCATGCCGTGCCTGTCATATATGGACCACATAAGCTTTTACACGGTACATGTCGTATAACTAAAATATTTCTGCGATTTTTTACGAGAATGTCATAAAAGGTGAATTTAGATGGTAGAATAAGTAAGGGCTTATCTGGAATACGTTTTGAATAAATATCGAATAGAATGTAAAGTGTTGATAGTAAACCTTATCAGGAATATTTCTGTTTATTCTACATATCAGTTTAAGTACGCATAGATAAGAATAAATAAAGTTGAATCATTAGGTCATTTTGGGCGGACAAAATGTGTTTGATTTCAATTTTGAAAATTCAAAGTCAAGTATAAAAATAATATAAATGAAATTAATCGAAAAAAAAAATAAAACATACACACAACTCCTTGCCATTGCAATTTTAAGCTCTCAGCATTATTAATACTAAAGCAAGAAATATGCACTTAAGTCATTGTAAGTTCTTCAGACTTATTTAACCTCGAGGGTTGTAAAACGAGTAAGCTGAAGTGCATTGAGGATGAAGGCGAAACCAGTAAAACATAATCTACACGTACGCATGCATGTATGGAAATTATGTTATGAATACATTTATTAGCAGGAAAACAAGTACATGAGTCATTTCGCATCCTTGTCAACGAAAAAAAAGTCCTAAACAGGACTACTTCCTTTTTCAGAAACGGAAAAAAATATGCTCTCTTATAAACACTTGTATAAAAATCAACTTAAGCACGTAGTCAATTGCACTCACCTCATTTCCTCTGGCAGACGCTTCAACTCGGCCATGTCCAATTCCAAACGTAGACTTGACACTTGACAAAGCAAACGGTCGCGATCAATTGTCACTTCTTTAAGATTTTCTCGCAGTGCTTGATTTTCCCTAAGTAATTCTTCCACATTAATTTTGATTGTATTAACTGCAGCTAAAGTTGTCGGAACGTCGCTGTTCATAGATTCTGTAGAGCCAAAGAGTCGACCAGGATGGTAATGTGTGCTTGCAGCACGGTCAACAGCACCAGTCAACATTGAACTGGTCATTAACAGCGATTGCGTTGTTTGATGTAACTGCTGGTGATCAGTCTGATCAATGGAGGACAAAGATGCTTCTGATGTGACAGAAATCGTGTCAAAAGACTGTTGCTGACTTGGAGTTAATTTCGAGGTCATTCTATTGGATGTTAACCCGTTGATATCGTTCGCATCACGGGTAGGTGTTAAAACTGTTGCGACTTCAGTGTCACACATGCTTTAAGATATTATTATATTCACTTTCTTAAATAAACAAAACTACATTAAAAGTTATTCACTTTGTTCACTTCTATATTTATTTTTTTTCAGCTCCCCGTGTGGTCAAAAGCGCAGCGATAGATTCGCTCGCAAAAGAATTTCAACAATTTACTCGATATCAGGTAATTTACTTTAAAATTATACACATTTAAATTATTTTAACAATTTCATTTCAACAATTAATTACCATATGTTTTACTGAATATTTAAAAAATTCTCGTTTTCCTCAGCGAGCTTCACTACTAATCAACAACAAACAACACGGACAGCAGAGAACTGAATCACAAAGAAACAGCGGAGCTGAGTGTAGTGTTGCCATCACGACAAGCTTTTTAAGTTGTTTATGTAGAGAAGGGAATGTGAGATTTTTTTTTTAGTAATAAAATATGTTATTTACGAAATTGTGTACAATTCGGATATAAGTCATATATCACATATAAATAAAAAACTACTCACAATAAATATTTGCAGCACACATAAATGTAAGTCTGCGCTCAAATCATACACAAAATGAAATGAATTTTTTCAAAAATGTGTAAGTTTTTGTAAGAAGTTGGCCACACTTTGTGTAAGAAACTGGTTTGCGAAAAACGTAGCAAATATCGAAAATGGGTTGCTGTGTATGTGAATATGTTATTTAATTGTTATACAAACAAGTTTTAATTATAACAAAATATTTTATGTTACAGCATGTTCAAATTTATCAAGATTAAGAGAGAAAATGAAGAGCACGTAATTTTTAGATATGCATTGTCATTTACAGAACGTTTAGAACAATATACAAAAATTGTTTAAAAAGTTTTAAAATATTTTATTCTTTTTTTTTATGACCAAAAATATATAATAATTCTCATCTGGTCGCTGGTCATTTAAAAACAAATAAAAAACAATAAAACAAATTATTTTAACAAGATATTTTCCAATATTTCGAATATCTTCGATAGTCATCTTTAAAGAAACTAATAAAATATACAATGTAAAACTTATAGCCGGAAAAATAATAAATACAATAATAATAATAAGAACAACAAAAACAAAAAGAGAATACAAATTATAAAATACATAAACAATATTGTGTATCATTTGTTTATAATATTCTTAAAAATTTTATGAATTATTTGTTTAATGGTATTTGAATACGAATTATTTAATGTTTTGTATAGAGAAGTACCAAAACATTGTATAAAATTGTTGATGATTTTAATAAAAATAACTTGTATAAAATAATGATTTTAGATTGTATCAATTTTACATTGTTTACAAGCAAATGTTTTCTTGTCGAAAAATACACAAATAGAAAAATCATAAAATATCATTTTAATATAAATTTAATTTATACTTTCATTTTTAATTATACCTGCAGGTTCTCGATAAATCTATTAGCTGTTACGCTTTAAAATTAGTTCACTAATTTTCTAAAAATTTTTCGTATTTTGAACACAACACAATTATGGAACATTATTATCATAATTTTATATAAATTTTGTATGGAATTTGTATAAAATATGGCAGGGATTTATTACCGAATACTTGTAGAGTAAAAATATTAATCATAATTGTTACAAAATAGCACAAACATTTAATAATTGCTTACAAAATTCGCAAGAATAAGCCCACTTTACTTAATGAATAAGTCACTCGCATTACAATAGCCATAATTTTTTCTTTCAGAGTAGGAAAAATATACTCAACAACAATACTTTAAGCCTCATATTTTAGTGTAGCCAAATTCAAAAATCGGTCTATTGTGAATTTCTACTGGAAATATATGTGGCAAAATTCCAGTCATCCGTTAAAATCATATGAATATTTCATTCACTAATAAATTTTGTTTTTAAATACTCATACATTTATTTATTGTATCTTCTCTTACAGTGAGACTAACAATAAGTTTTAAAATCTTATCACTAATTACATAATATTACAATTTTTATTTTAACTATACATTGCATAATATAAAATAAAATAAGTAAACTTTATATCACGGACCTCACTTAGATTGGTGGGTTGAATTTCAGTAGAATAAGTGCGAGGTGGATTATTAAAAAATTAAATTAACTTTATGAAATTACTAAAAATAAGAGAGGAGTATTCACTTGAGTCTATTGAATTTTAATTAATGGCTGGACGGTCAGCTCTTTTTAGGCGGGAGGTAGTGCTTTGAAATGCGAGTTTTTTCGCTAAGGGGTTAACATGTTAACCTTTTATTGTATGTTTTTCTTATATTGTCAAATTCAGTTTTAACTAGGGGAATTTGTAGATCTTGGTGGATACTTTCATTCCTTATATACCATGGGTCACCAGTGATTGTTCTCAGTATTTTTGACTGAGCTCTTTGTAGAATTTCAATATTTAAAGCACTAGCAATGCTAAATAGCTGGATACCATAAGTCCATATTGGTTTTATGATGCTGTTATACAAGAGTACTTTATACTCTAGGCACAGTTAAGATCTGCTAATAATGAGCCAAAGCAACTTAGAGGCTTGGAGCTTCATCTGAATTTTTTTGGCTAGAATATGTTTGCTCCAAATTAGTCGTCTGTCTAGGTGAATACCTACGTTATATTATCTGCTTGTGGTATGGGAATGTTATTTAGTAAAATTGTTAGAGATGTACCCCGTTTTATTTGAAACACAAAAATAAATAAATTAATTTAAATATATCAGATAAAAATGATTACCATTGCCTTTCTAATATTCATTTTGTTTTCATTTATTTAAATTAATTTATTTTTAGTGTTTACGATTTTTATATTTCATATTGTACACAACTCATCGAAAAACATATATCAAAGAAAAGCATTTATGTTAACATGTTTTCAATTGTGGCAGTGATGCCGAATTATTGCTAAGCAAGCAAAAGTTGCTCTATTGGAGTATTCATGTCGAAAAAATACATCTATAGTAATCATTTTTATTTTCATTTTATTTTAGATTTGTTCCGCGAGCTATTCGTACAAACTGCGAGTAACTTTGACTAACTAGGAATGCATTCTAGCACCAAATTTTAAAGCAACAGAAAGAGTCTAAGAGAGCTTAACATCTCTGTCAAAAGAAGAGTCAATATACAGAATTTACTCAAAATAAGCTGTTATAACTGTAAGTTGTATTGTGATCCAATAACTAAAAAATACATTATTCTGTTCATTTGTATGGTAAGATTATTTCATAACTATTATTTTAGTATTTTACGGAGATTTTTCGGTTGTTTCGTCACAAAATTTGCTCTTAGTTTGTACTTTACTTATGAAGTGCAACAGATCTTTTATTTACGGATTTATTTTTCAACTGTTAACAAAATTCAAATTCAGTGTTAACAAAAATAGATTTTTATTTAGTTATAATTTTTTACTAGTAATATTTTTGATATTAGAATATTGAAATTCGCCTTTATCTCGCATCTATGTTATAATTTGAAAGTAAAAGACTATTGTCTGTAATATTTTTCATATTAATTTAATTAATTAATTAAATAAATTTAATTAATTTAAAAGAGTTTTTATATCTGAAAATATCGAAAACTACATTTTGAAAATTTTTGCCAAATCCTTGCTTTATTTTGAGATAATATTGCCACCTATATTCAAATTACGTTCTTGTTTTATTCGTTTAGCAAAGACAAGGACCGTATCGGTATAAACACATTCAAAGTTGTCCGAAAGCTATAAGGAACTTTAGAGTTTGCGCGAGATAAGTTAGGATTGTTTGATTAACAAGTTTTTGAAAAAGCCGCGTAAATTGAATTAACAGTACACAAAAATAAATTATTCAAACATAATTTGTTGCTGCATTGGTCATACTTCTTCAAAATAAACTGCAAATCAACAAAAATGCTTTAACATTATAATTTTAAAACACAAACAAAAATGTATTGATTTATATATGTAAAAAAATGCAATCATGGATGAAATCATGTTTTTGAAAACAATCACCTTACGCGGCATTTTTCACCAAATTGTGGACCAAAAAATCTTAATTCGCGACGCGCAAACTTTAAAGTTCTTTATAGCTTTTGGACGAATTTCAACGTTTTTATAATATTACGGTCTCTGTTATTATGTTCTTTGGTATTACGGTCTTTGCAGTAAGCATCAAAGCTCTATAGATTTCAGACGATTTTCATTGTGTTCTTTGATATTACAGTTTTTGCAGCAACCGTTAAAGCTTTTTATAGCTTTTGGATCATTTTCGTGTTTCTAATAATACGGTCTTTGATATTACGGTCTACAAAGGTCTTTATAGCTTTCGAACGAATTTTATTGTTTTGAAATAATACGGTCTTTTATGGTATTCTAATGTTACGGTCTTTCCTTTTTTTGCACAAAGTACGTTGTGCAACACTAAAAGCACTGTTATATTTTCTATGTGCCCATAGATGGCACTAAAATTGACAAAGAAAAATTTAAAATAAATAAATGTAAAAAATAAAAATAGATAATAAAAATAAATTTTTATTATGTTGTTAACATTTTTCATTACAAGACTAACAAATAACTTTTTGGTTCGGTTTACAAATTAATTTTGTAGTTTTTCGGATTTGCAAATTTCTCGTTTTATGTGTTGTAGTGTTGCTTGCAAATGATTCGAAAACTGTGGATAATGTCTTTATTATCAGCTAATAAATAGTTTAGCTAAAAACTTTTATTTAAGTATTTTGAATAGAACTATTTTATTGAATTATGTTATGACACAAACTTCGGTTTTGTATTCAAATCATTGTGACATCCTTATATTTTTTTCTTTTTTACTTTTACCACTTTTTTCCTTATAGCCCTATCAAAATTCTTGTCAAGTTCAATATGATCCTCTGTTTATTCAGAGGACACCGTATCATAGTTTCTCTTTTCGAAAAGCGGTTATTACTCTAATATATAACTTAATTTAGAATCAAAAGGTCACTAAATCTTTAAGCCATATTTGGCAAGTCTTGACAGCATATTTTGTCTAAAAGAGTGTCACATTTAATAGTTATGAACTGATCATGAATAGTGAGACTATGTTGCAGTTGTAGAACCTTGGAAGAACGACTCCCCAACGGTTAAGTATACAGATATATTCCGATTTTTTACGTAAATAATTTGTTAGAAATATTCATTTTCAATTTTTGTATGAAAATTGCGGTGTAGGCTACCATGATCCGGAATTTAGGATTCTTAGGTTTTTTTTTAGCATGACATGAGAGTTAAGACTTTATAAGTAATTTCATGGCATAGAAGGCTATATACCCATTAG